TGTGTAATAACTCCACCTAGAGGGAAAAAGGACTGGGAGGGAGAGGCCACGGGTGAGCACAGCAGGGCTGAGCACATTCCCGATCCTGGTGGCACAGAGGAGGCATTGCTGCCTGGACACAGGGATGGCCATGGGACAACACAGGCATGATCACAGAACTGTGGCATCACAGAATGGTTTGGGTTGGAAGGGACTCCAAAGCCCATCCAGTGCAACCCCCTGCCCTGGGCAGGGACACCTTCCACTGTCCCAGGCTGCTCCAAGCCCTGTCCAACCTGGCCTTGGGCACTTCCAGGGATCCAGGGGCAGCCACAGCTGCTCTGGGCACCCTGTGCCAGGGCCTCACAGGGAAAAATTTCTTTCCAATCTCTAATCTAAACTTCCCCTCGTTCAGTTTCCATGCTCTGTCCCTTGGGTGTATCTGAGACCATCAGTTCCCAGGGATCCCATGGCTGGCTCCAATCCCAAAGCCACCTGTCCCTTTCCACCCCCAGGAACAGCTGCCCCTCACTGGTCTCACACAGAAGATTCTTCAAGTCCTTCCCTTGGGACAGTCACCTATATCCCTTAAATATTCCCCAATACCCATGGAAGAGGAGGGCAAGAGATCAGGGCAGTATTTCCTTTGGAGAAGCTTCAATCCTGAATTTATTGGAGCTCACAGAAACATCCTGTGGGAAACACAGCACTCCTTAAGTGTCCCACTGATGGGACATCAGGTGACTGCAGAGGCAGCCACTGGGCAAATGCCATCTTGGTGCCACCCTGGTGGAAAGGAAAAAAGTAAAAGCTGTTAGTTACTCACAAATCCAGGAAAGCAGCTTAGGGAGTCCACAGTGTGCTCATTTTGTACGGGAAGATGTGTCATCCCAACTGCTCTGCCTGTGGCTGATGGGAAAATGTCCTTTCACCCCAAATCTCCGGAGTCACCTGCAACATGCACACCCCTGTACCTGCAGCACTTTGGGATCAGAAGCACCATTTGGGCTTCATCCCCCACTTCTCACCCTGAGGCCAGATTCGTGCTAGATCTGATCCCAGCTCCCATTTTTTGGGATCAGCTGATACTATTTCACTTCCCATAAAACAGCCACATCCAAAGGAGGGTGAAAGCCAAAATTAAGTTTCTTGTTGGAGCTTTTTTTGTTGTATTTTTTAAGCATTTACTTGGACTCTGAGCCAGGATATTGGAGCATTAATAAGGGGAGATGTTGTCAGCTTCTGGTAGAGATTTTCTCCTTGAAAAAAGAGTGAGTTTGGGACATGGGCAGCAGAGATGGGAAAACCTGAAGACACCAAACACTTCCAGCCTCCATGGATGGCAAGCTGGGGCTGCAACACCCCTGTGGCTCCAAACACTTTCTGGGCAGTTAAATTACATTTGGCTGCTTGGTTAAAGATGGGATAATTATTTCCAGCGAGGCAGACATGCTCCAGATGCACTTCTCCTTCCTTAACTGCACTAACACTATCCCAAACCCCAAGGAAATGCCATTTCCCATGCCCAGGAGGCCATCTGGCTGGCAGCAGAGCTTTGCCAGGTTTCCTCTTGACTTTATTAAGCTGGAGCAGGTATTTAGTTCCTCATTATCTGTCTGCAGGAAACACTTGGGGAGGCAGAGCAGCATCTTTCTCTCCAGGAGATAAACAGGATCCTCTGCAAAATCCAGGTGCCTGGAGCTGGTTTGTGAAGCTCTTCAGACATTTCCACCCCTGAGGATTTGTTTGTGGCTGGATGCATCCCTGTCTATGAGAGGTTAGAAGAACCAAAGAGGCCGATCCCTGGGTATTCCAAGCCCTGAGCCTGCCTTCAAAACAGAAAAACACTTTTATTGTGGCAAGGATTCCTCCATTCTTCCTGCTTTGTGTCATGAAGCTGAAGGAAAAGGAGAGCACTTTTTCTTCTCTCCTCATAAAGCAGGGTGTGTCAGGCTCTGACATTTACATCAAACAAGTGCATGGCTCCCTTCCCATCTTCCTGGCTGTCCCACGGGCATGGATTTGCAATTTCCATGCTGGCAAATCCGGAGCGGCCAAAGGAGATCACTTTGCTGGAGTTTTGGGATTTTTCCGCAGCTGCAACAGAAAATGCCACAGTGGAACCGGTGGAGAAATGTGGAAATGAGGAAATTGGTGGAAAGGTGTTATTTCAACTTTCCCCTTGGTCTTCAGCAGCCAAATCCTGGCCTCAGAGAGAGCAGGGAGTTGTGGATCCTTGTTGGCCTTGGAATGGATTACAGAATATCCTGGGTGGGAAAGAACCCCCAAGGATCAGAGTCCAGCTCCAGGCCCTGCACAGACACCCCAACAATCCCATTCTGAGCATCCCTGGGAGAGGCATTCACACACTCCTGGAGCTCCAGCAGCCTCAGGAATGTCACCCAGCACCCTCTGGATGAAGAACCCTCCCCTAATATCCAACTAAACTCCCCTGGCACAGCTCCAGCCCTTCCCTGGGTCCTGTCCCTGCTCAGCAGAGAAGCAGCAAAACCCATTTCAAGTGTGGACTCAGCAAAGTGGCTGATCCCTGATCCCATTTTTCCCATTCTGGGAACACCAATCAATGTAATTGAGCTGTTGGAGTGAGCCCAAAGGAGGCCACCAATCTGATCAGAGGGATGGAGCAGCTCTCCTGCAAGGAAAGGCTGGAAGAACTGGGATTGTTCAGCCTGGAAAAGACTTCAGGGTGACTTAATTGCAGCATCCAGTGCCTGAAGGAAGCCTACAAGAAACATGGAGAAAGACTATTTACAAGGGCTTGGAATTACAAGGAAGGTTTTCTCATACAGATCATCCCCCTGCTCTGGTTTAGACTCTTGCTACAAAATCCACATGCAAAAAGGTTTGTCAGCACCTGTGGTGGGAAACGGGACAGCACTGGTTTCCAGGGCTGACAAACTCAGCCTTGCTGGGGCACAGCAAGAGTTTTAACCAAAATAAAGGATTTTCCCCTCATTTTTCAACATTCCACTGCCACACAGTGGAGATCAGAAGTTGGGATACACAGAGGACACTGCTCAGCTGTTAAATCCCACAGGCCAGACGCACCTTCTGGGCCAGGATGTCCCTCCACAGCGACTGTTGGGATCAGGGAGGATGCACCTGGGTAAGGATTGTCCAAAATTCGCTGCATTCCTGCTGCAGGTCCAGGACCTCTGCTCTGAGCCTCAGTGGGGAAAGCTGGGCTGACCCCATGTGGTCATGGCCTTGTTATGGCATGGTTCTGGTTTTAAAAAGCATCAACTTTCCACTTATTCAGACAAAAATGTAAAATCTACCTCAAATCCATAAAATCTTTCCATCAAGGGAAAAGGCACTGTGGTGAGAGTTAAGCTAAACCTCTGTCTATCATTTTTCACGCCATGGAAATGTGTCCACCCTCCCAGTGTCCCTGCTCAACCAGGCAAAGCACCACAATATAATATTCATTTTTAGCATGGATGGGACATTCCCAATCCTCTGAATCCCTCAAAACAAACGAGAAGGGTTAGGAGGGGAAACTCACACCCAGTTTGTGCCTTTCCCTTGCAGCAAAAGGTTAAATATTGTAGTGGTTCATCTGGCTGCAATCTGGGAGCTTCGCCCCCAGATTTTGGGTGTGCCTGGACCAAGGGAGGTTGGTGTGTGTCATCTGGTCACTTTGGGCCTGAAGAAGTAAAAAATAAGGAATGTTGATTGTTTCCACGGTTACAGAATGATTCATTCTGATGATAAAATAACAGGGGAGACACATGGAAAATGAAAATCATGTCTCAGAAGTGTTTTGTGTCATTTTTGCGTTCACAAGTTCTCCTGCTGCAGGCTACATGCGTGCCCTGACCTCAGCTATTCATAAAAGCGTCTCTTGAGATGATCCCAGTGTTGGGTTTTTTTACTGAAAAGGAATTGAAACCTTCAATCATAAAGTCTGTCAGCCTTGGAAGATGAACAAGGCCCACCCCAGCACAGTCCTGTCCAAACAGAGAAATGGAACCTCCAAAAACAATCCCACTGAGATAAAAATTATCAAAGTGAGGGCCTGGAGGACCAGGACAAGAAGTGATGGCTTTAAATTGGAAGAGGGTGGATTTAGATGGGATGTTAGGAAGGAATTTTTCCCTGTGAGGGTAGTGAGGTCCTGGCACAGGGTACCCAGAGAAGCTGTGGCTGCCCCTGGATCCCTGGAAGTGCCCAAGGCCAGGCTGGACAGGGTTCGGAGCAGCCTGGGATAGTGGAAGGTGTCCCTGCCCAGGGCAGAGGGTAAAACAAGATCATCTTTAGAGGTCCTTTCCCACTCAACCCAGTCTGGAATTCCACGATCTGGTAATTCCAAACCCATCAAACGGCTCAGCCTTGGTACCCCTGAGGTGCCAAAGAGCAAGGGGTGTGTGTGTGTGTGTGTGTGTGTGAGCTGAGGTCTGTCGTGCCTCGCTGCCCTCCCCCTTCTCCTCGTCGAGCCCACTGGGGCTTCTGAGAGGGTGAAAAGACCCTTGAGGTGACGGGAAGAGAGGCGGTAGCGCCCAGCCTGGACAGGACCCACCATCACCACACGCCACCTCCCGCCATCTTGGCGGCTCTCTGAGGGCGGGGCGGGGGGCGTGGCCTCTCTGAGGGGGAAGGGGCGTGTCCACAGCGCCCCCTCCCAACCCGCGCGAGGGGGCGGGGCGGGCCCAAAGGTCGCGAGGCCGGAGAGGCGCCGAGGGGGGGCGTGGCCAGTGGGCGGAGATCGGCGGCGATTGGCCGCGGTTGGCGCCGGGCGGCTGCGATTGGCTGAGCGCTAGGAGGGGGCGGGCGCGCGCGCGCGCCGGAACCGGCACGGCCCCGCCCACCCTGCCACGTCCGTGCGGCGCGTGCGGCGGGGCCGGCGCGCGCGGGTGAGTGCGGCCAGGGGGCCTGAGGGGCTGCGGGAGGGGAACCCTCTGAGGGCTCGGTTTGCGGAGGGGTCTCACCCCTGAGGGGCTGCTCCAGCCCGGGAGCGCTGTGGGGACACCAGCGAGGGGCTGCGCGTGTGTGGGGGGGCGTTGATATGACCGCCCCGAAAGTCTGCGTGTGATGCAACCGGATGCTCCTCCACCGAGGGGCTGCGGATGGAGTGAGGGGGTGCCCTCAGTGGGCCATGTGTGAGTTGAGGGGTCCCCTCTGAGGGGTTGGTTTGGGGAAGGGTCCTACCCCCGAGGCACAGCTTCAGCTGAGGGGAGCTCTAGGGACCCCCCGAACGGCCGTGTGCGGGGTGAGGGGGTGTGGGACCCCCCGAAGGGCTGTGTATGAGGGAAGGGGTTGAGGGGATCCCCTCAAAGGGCCATGTGTGGGGCGGGGGAGCACCTCGAGAGGTTGGTTGTGTAGTGGGTTCTGTCCCAAGGGTCTGCTTCAGCTGAGGAAAGCTGTGGGGACCCTCCAGGGGCAGAGCTGGGCTCTGTCACCCCGTCCCCCAAAACCGGGGGGCTGGCAGAGATCTGGCCAGGCACCCCCTGACCCCCCCAGGGGGTTTGGGGGTGCCCTCCAGCAGCTCAGGGACACCCTGCTCCCAACACATGGGGATCCTGGGATGCTCCAGGGAAAATTCACTGTGCACCAGGAAAAGCTCTTACTCTCTGTACCTTAATCCCTTTTCTTTATTATTATTATTATTTTAATTGACATTATCCTAAGTCACATTCCTGCCTCGAGAAAATGAGCGTAGCTTACAGGTCCATCCTGCTCCAGCTGTGCCAGAAGTAGTGGGGAAATGACTCTTAGTTGATCACTAATTGCTCATAGAGCATCAAAAATTTTATTTTCTCTATATGCTTTTCCCTTGGTGTGCTGTAACCCTGAGCTGGAGTTTGAGGTTTGCTTTATTCTGTACAGACACTGTTTGAATGTTGATATGGACACTTGGGAATTCTGGGGGACAGAGGAAAAGCAATGTTGGACTAGTTGAGGGAGAAATCTGTTGAAATGTTTCTCTTTGTAATTCATCTTTCCTGCTGCTTCATTTTGAAAATTCACATGGGATGAGAGTTTGCGTTGCTGTTTAATTGCTGTAACAGCAATGTCTTTTACTTTTATATGCAAAATTAGCATGAGAGCTGGGATTCAAAGGCCAGTGTGTACCAGCAGGTGGCATAGAAAAAGATTATGTGTTGGTCTTTTTAGTTCAGAAATTTCAGTTGGGTTTCTGGAGCCACTTTCACTTTTGAGGTTCATTACACTGTGATGCTTCACAGCAAACATTCTGTTCTTTCTCTGGGCTGTGAGGTGCCTTATTTTAAAAAGTATCATCCCAAACACTTTTTTTTCTTTCTGCTGTTTATTTGGCCTGACCACTAGTGTGTGACTGCTGTATTGTTTGTGGTGCAGCTAAGGCAATCTGAAGATTTATAAAGAAATTTGAAGTTTTCATGAGCTCTGCTCATACCAGAACCCTGATCACGTATTCACAGGGGATAGAGTAAGAATTATTTTCCTTTATAATAGAATTCCAGGTTGGAAGGGACCTTAAAGCCCATCTCATTCCACTTCTGCTATCCCAGGTAGCTCCAAACCCTGTCCAAGCTGGCCTTGAATGCAATTAGGAAAATCCATCCCCTTGTCACCCAGAATAACCCCCAGCTCCCCATTCTCTAATCATTAACATGTATCTCGCTGTCCCCTTGGCACTGGGGCTTTCCCTGTTAGTGGACACTGTGGGGCTGTGCTTGGCAGCTGGGCTCTGTAAACACACACAGCAAACAGGACAGCCCAGGAGAGGCAGGTTGGGCCGTGCCATCACCTGCTGTGGGATGTGGCACCTTGTGCCCGAGAGATTAAATATCTGTGGGGTGGGACTGGTTGGAAAAAAGCGCATTATTGCCACTGCAGGTTTTAAGTTGAACAGGAGCGCAAATGATGGTTGGACAGGTTGTTGGGAGGTTTCTTGAGGGTGATGCTTTCCTTTCCAGAGGGCCATAGATGTTAAATACCCTCCTCAAAGCCTTATCAGGCTGGATTTTTCCAGGATAAACACACAAGCTCCGTGTGTTGACTCCAGCTGACGTGTGCCGTGTCCGGGTGCACATGTTCTGTTAACCTGGCAGGTGAAGGCTGAGCAGATAAAGTGAACAGCAGTGTATTCACCTTTCTTGAAATCCCTGAGGACAATCCCATGGCATGGTACAGGGGGAACAACTGATTTAGAGACCGAAGCATGCCTTACCCGTTTAATTCATTGCAGATCGCCGTTTGCAGCCATGATGCCCGTGGCCACCGTGATGCCCGATGACACGCCCATGTTTGACCCCAGCATCCTGCAGGAACTCGACTGGAGCGAGAACACCACGACCTTTTCTCCTGCTATTTCTCCCCTGGATCCAGGGGATGGGCTGGTTCTGAGACCACTTTGCACAGCTGATTTAAATCGAGGTAGAATCCTGCTTTATCTTTGCCAGAAATGACACTGGGGGGCTGAGTTGGTAACTTCAATTTCTGCAGGAGCTCGCAGTAGGTTGGGATTGTTTGTTTTCCCTGATTTATTTTTATCAGTAAACAATTTGATGGAATTTTAGAACATCCTGAGTTGCAAGGGACCCACAGGGATCATAGAGTCCAACTCCTGAACCTGCACAGGGCACCCCAACAATCCCACCCTGTGCCTTGTCCTAACATCCCTCGGGCTCTGGTAGCCTTGGGGCAGTGACCACATCTCTGAATTTGAGCTTTCGGCATCATGGCTGGTGACCCTAAAAATTCAGTTTACTGTTTTAATCCTAAAATTCAAGTAAAATCTTCCAAATAATCCACAGGTTCCCATTCATCATGGTTTTCAAAGCAACATGAACAAGCGCCTTGGTGCATAAATTCTCCTTCAGTTCTGGAATTTGGATAAAAACTTTGGTTTGGACTCATTATTCCAGGCTTACTTGAGCTTTAGCCAGTCCTTCAACATTGTTCAATCCCATTGTGATGGGATGGTGCCTCTCCAGACAGCTGTGTTGGATTGTTCCCTGCTGTTTGGAGCTGGCTGTGTGTCTGTCCCTCACTGAGAGTTGTTTTCCCCCCTCCTTTCCTGATAGGCTTTTTCAAGGTTCTGGGTCAGCTGACGGAAACCGGAGTTGTGAGCCCGGAGCAGTTCATCAGTGAGTGCCTCATTATTCCTTGGCATTTCTATAGGGGTTGCAGGGAATCAGAGGATCCTGATGCTGACAGCAAAGCTGCTCAGGTGTGAGGCTCCTGATGCCAGAGGGAGGGATTAATTCAGCTCCCCTGAGGGAGCCCTTGGCACTCAGCCTTGGATCCAGTTGCAGCTATCCCCAAGGGCTGCTTGGCTGGGACAGGCTTAAATTGTGAAACTGGTTTTTAGACTGAGCTTTAGATAGCTGGGAGCATGGATTTTTTGGGATGAATTTGGGTTGCTCCAAGCCCCTCCAGTCTGGACTGCAACACTCTCCAGGATAGGGCAGCCACAGCTTCCCTGGACAGCACAGCCCCTCATCACCCTCTAAGGGAAGAATTTGTTCCCAATATCCCATCTAACCCTGCCCTCTGGCACGGGGGAGCCATTCCCCTGGTGCTGTCCCTCCAGGCCCTTGACCAAATCCCTCTCCAGCTCTCTTGAACCTACTTTAGGTCCCCTTTAGATGCCACTCCTGGGCGAGACAGGTGGGGGGAAGCAGCCCAAGGATGCAGGGAATCACAGGACCTAAGCCAAACCCACCACTAATCCATGTCCCCAGGTGTCACATCCACACACGTTTTAAATCTCTCCAGGGATGGAGAATGCACCACTGCCCTGGGCAGCTGTGCCACAGCTGGAAAACCGTTTCCATTAAATTCTTCTCTGTGAGGGTGGGCAGCTCCTGGCACAGGGTGCCCAGAGCAGCTGTGGCTGCCCCTGGATCCCTGGAAGTGTCCAAGGCCAGGCTGGATGGGCCTTGGAGCACCCTGGGGTAGTGGAAGGTGTCCCTCCCCATGGCAGGGGGTGGAACTGGATGAGCTTTAAAGTCCCTTCCAACCCAGAGCATTCCATGATTTGCTGTTTTTAGCACCCATGTGCAGAGCTGATCAGCAAGGAGGGTTCTCTGGGCAGATAAGGAAAATGAGTTTGTGTAATTCCTGCTTTTTCATGGGTTAGTCTGGCTCTGGGGCTTTCATTTTCTGGGCTCCTGGGTGCATCATTCCTGTGATCCCAGAGTGATTTGCAGTCAGAGACTGCTGCAGACTTAACTGCAGTTCACTGTCAGCCTGAACTGCCTGTTCCACTCTGTGCCTGCTCCCACAGAAACCTTTGAGCACATGAAGAGATCTGGAGATTACTACGTTACCGTGGTGGAGGACACAAACCTGGGGCAGATCGTTGCTACGGCAACGCTGGTTATAGAACATAAATTCACTCACTCCTGTGCCAAGGTAATTCCTGCAGCTGGGAAGGGAGGAAAAGATCCTGTCCCTGACTCTGGGAGTGTTGGTTTTATGGGGTTACTGTGTGCTGACAACCTCAAGTTTATCAGAGGAGGTTTAGGTTGGATATTGGGGAAAATTTCCTTGTGGAAAAGGTGGTCCAGCCCTGGCACAGCTGCTCAGGGCAGTGCTGGAGCAGCCATCCCTGGAGGGATTTAAAAGCCATGGGGATGTGGCACTTGGGGACACAGCTCAGTGGTGGCCTTGGTAGTGCTGGGGAACAATTGGGCTCAATGGTGTAGGGCTTTTCAAACCTTAAAAATGGAAATATTCAAAAAATGTATTTTTTAAAAGATCAAATATTTTGTGTATTTAAAAAATATATCACATCCTCAAGTGCTGAGTTGATAGCAAACAGAACTTTGGATTTTCCTGAGGAAAAGGAGCACTTGGAGATGTGTCCCATTGTCCCAGTGAGCTTGTGAAGGAGTCAGACGTGGTTCTGACAGAGCAGATGGCTGAGGATCTCCGTGCTGGGAGTCCCAGCCAGGCTGTGAACACAGGGAGCTGGAAGGGCAATTCCAGGACTAACAGACACTTGCCTGTGCTTTCAGAGAGGCAGGATAGAAGATGTGGTGGTCAGCGGGGAGTGCAGAGGGAAGCAGCTTGGAAAACTGTGAGTATTCCCCACCTGTGCCATTCAGCAAGCCCTTCCTTACACCTCACACCTTCCTGCCAAGCACCTGGGAAGAATTCAGCCAGCAGGGATCACCAGCTGGGAATAAAATGATCTGCAGGAAAACACGGAGAGTGCTGTGAGCCCTCAGTGTTGTGATAATGTAACTAATTAAATATTCACTGACCCAGAATTTAACTCCTGATTTTTTTATCTTTTCCAGATTAACGTCCACCCTCACCCTGCTAAGTAAGAGACTGAACTGTTACAAAATCACGCTTGAGTGTCTGCCCAAAAATGTGGATTTCTACAAGAAGTTTGGCTATTTGGTATCTGAAGAAAACTACATGTTTCAACGGTTCTTTAATTAACAATTTCTAGGTGTTTTGGGTTCTTTTTTTTTCTTGGAAAGACTGTTGGTGGAGTGCTACAAACATTCTCTCCGTGGAAAATTTCTATAGTTTATTGCTGCAAATGTAACAATCCCTATAAATAATGAACATCAAATGTGTAAATCATGGGGGAAAAAAAATTACTGAGGTTTTAGAAAGGGTCCTCTGGGTTAGAAAATAAGTTTAGAACTAATTTTTACTACTGTGGAGTCGAGGTGAAGCTTTTCTGTTCTAGCTGAATTACAGAAGGACTCGTTAAAGGGATGGTTTTTAACCAAAGGTATATATTTTTATCTCAAATTTTTTCTTGCATTGTATTTTTCTAAAGGTTTGTGCTTCTTTTCTCAGTAGCCAAAGGACAGCCCCTGGGACTGTCCTGGCTGTGCTGATGGAAGGATGACGTAGCTGGGGAAGGGATGAGGCTTCTCTTATGCAGAATTAGTGACACAGAACAGGCCTTAGTTCTGGTTTTTTCCATGACATCTCATGGAAGTGCTGGTGGTGCATCAGAAGTTTTATAGGCACTGTTTTCCAAGACTGGATCTGTTACTGTTGGTACAGGTTAGGGAGAATCCTTAAAGGCTGTGCTGAATTCCCAGTCTAAAAATGGATGTGTGCTTCTCACTGCAGGGCTCCTGCACTTTAGCTGATAACTTGGTTTTCAGGATAATTACTTTTTTCTGACATAAAAACCCTAGACATGGTTTGCAGCAGGGCAGAGGGTAACTGGGAAACTGGAATGTCTGAAGGAATGTGTCCCAGATGGAGTGGGATTCTGGCTGTCAGTGGGAAGGGGATTGGGATGAGCAGATTCAGCTTCACCTAAGGGAGCTGGGGGTGTTCAGCCCAGAAAAGCCTTAGAGCCACTTCCAGGGCCTAAAAAGGAGAGGGCAGGACACAGGGAATGGCTTCCCACTGCCTGAGGGTAGGGAGAGATGGGATAGTGGGAAGGAATTGCTGATGTGAGGGATGTGAGGCCCTGGCACAGGGTGCCCAGAGAAGCTGTGGCTGCCCCTGGATCCCTGGAAGTGCCCAAGGTCAGGCTGGGTGGGGTGTGGAGCAGCCTGGGATAGTGGAAGATGTCCCTGTTGGAATGAGATGAGTTTAAGGTCCCTTCCAAGCCAAACCATTCTGGGATTTACTGAACACCCCTGGCACAGCAAAGCAGGAGAGAAATGCCCCCCTTCTGCTCCTGAGGGATTGCTGCTGCAGAGCTTCCCTCTTGCTGCAAGATTGGATCAATGATTTTAGCACTTTTGCCAGGGGTGAAAAGCAAATAACGTCCAAAGCCCCGGTGCCAACAGTGGTGTTTTGTGTGGGGAGTGACAAATCCCACAGCCATGAATAGGGCATTATACCCAGGCTGGGCTGTTTGTGGGCAGCCAGGCCCTCCACACTGTCCTGCTTTGTGCTCTGGAGAGCGACTCTACAGTGCTGGGGGCTCTGCTTGATCTTCCTGAGGGTTCTCCACTCCATCCACTGTCTCCTTGGTGATGTCTGCTTTATTTATTGATTATTTTTTTAAAGAATAGCTTTGTTTAAGCTGAATAAATGATTGCTACCTGGATCTGGACTGTTTTTCATGGAGTGAGGATGTGCTTGTTGAGCAGCACCACCTGCTGCAGTTACCTGTTCCCCTTCCCTAGGCTGAAAAGAACACTTTTAGCAATTCCATGTGGATTTCTCTCCCAGGAGAAAGCAGATGTGCTCCTCTGACACCTCAAGCCCTGACTCTTGTTCTGTAAAGCAACTCCTGTTTTCTGCTGGCCCAAGTGACTGAGATGGATTTTTTGCCTTTCAGAGTTTTAATTAATTCAGAATTTCTACCGATTTAAAGTGGATTATTTGAATTACATGGTATCTACACCACCTAAAGAGCCCCAGGCCCTCATTAAGAGTTAATGAGAAGATCAGAGTGAGGAGCAGGTGCTGTGGCCCCGCACAGATCGTTGTCAAGCAGCTGAATGGGGTTGAAAGCTGGGGTTTGTGGCTGCAACACAATGGCCCTGCTGGGCACAGCCCCCTCAGAGCAGCTCAAGAGCTCTTTGTTCATCCCAGAGGTGACATTCCCACCCCTCTGGAAAAACTGCAGCAGCTCCTGTGAATTTATCCACAGTGCAACAGGCTCAAGAGGGAAAAGCAAAGGCCCCTATCTATTTATTATGTATATATAAAAATAGATCTAAAATATAAATATGTATATTGTAGATGTAGATATAAAATCTATTATGGCTATGTATTTTATGTATATATAAAATCTATATATGACACATAATATATACATATTTTATATATATACATACATCTAGAGAGACTAGACATGTATATATGAATTTTATATATGACCTCCTTGAGGCAAACACCAAACCTTTCATAAATGTTTTCCCCTGGGAAGCTCTTCCCTGGACACAGAAGCATCTGGGTGCCTCTGTTTTAGATACATAGAATTATATATAGTTATGTAGATCTCTTTATATATTTCTATATAAATATATATAATCATAGAAATAATATAGATATAAAACCAGCAGTATTTGGACACATGGTTGATAATACTTGAGAATCTCAGACTGGTTTGGGCTGGAAGGGACCTCAAAGCCCATCTCACTCCAGCCCTTGCCCTGGGACACTTCCACTGTCCCAGTTTGCTCCAAGCCTTGTCCAACCTTGCCTGGAACACTTTTTTTTTGTCAGAACCAGCCCTAACAGCACTACCAGCTTCTCCAGAGGCTGAATGTTACCTCCTCCCTGCAATTAAATTTTCTGCCTAAGACCTTTCCCACCCTGAGGGAGAGATCTCCAGCTCCTTCACTCTGCTTTCCCCCCTAAGCTGGAAAAGGCAATTTCAGCCCCTCACTGAAGAGCTGTGGATTCCCAAAAATTTGGGCATTGCAATTTTGTGTTTGTACCTGGGAAATCAAACATAATAATTCACCCTCCAACTTCTCTTTCCAGTGCACAGTGAGGGACCCTGCTTCCAATTCCTGCCTTTAGTTCCACCCCTAAAAACAAATATTGAAACATCTTCTGGCAGAGAAACTACAGCAGACAGACACAGGAAGTTTTAAATAGACAGCTTAGTAATAGATCTGAGGAAAATTAAATCTCAGAATCCCTTAGGATCTGACAGGCAGACAGACCAGAATGACTGTAAAAGGCACCAGGAGGGGTAATGCCAGGAAAAAAAACTGGATTGATGAAAAATCCTTCGTCATGGAGCTTGTCAGTAGGAAGGGAGTGTTCCCAGGACCCCAAAGAGAACAGACCCAGACACAGAAGAGTCTGGAGAGATGAATCAGTGCCTTCCATCTGTGTTTCATCCCTCCCCTTCCCCAGGGACCTGAAATAGAGAGGGAGTTGATGTTTCCCAGCCCAGTTCCAGCAGCAGCTCGGTGTCTGGGGGCTGTGCAGGGCCAGGCACAGCCCCACTGCTGCCATGTGGGAATGCATTTCCCAACAGCCCCAGAGCATTCCTTACACAGGATCAGTTCAGAGCAGGAACAAACCCTCTACAACTGCAAAACCAGCAGCACAGGACACTGGACACTGACACAGTGCACTTCTCCAGGAGATAAAGCACTTCCCTTTTTCCAGCTGAAAAGTTCCCAAGGAAAGCATCAAACTATTTATTTATTTATTGCAGACTTTTCCCCCCCTGAAGAATGACTCTGCTCCATCACAGCTGTAGATGGCACAGGGTAGCAGCAGGAACAGGAATGTGCTGCTGGATGCTCTAATCCCCAAATCCTGAGCCCGTTTTTCCCCTGGTAAAACATAGTCTGCTCACCAAACTCAGACTTCCCAAAAACACAAGTTTTTCTAACAGCCTTGTGCCTGTTTTCTAACAGCACAGTGCTCCCAAATCGTTCCAGCCCTGGCTTTTAGGCAACAAACATTGGGAATAAAGCAGATACAGAACCAGGACTGTGCTTGCACAACCTCTGTGCTGCTGAGACAGGAGAGTTACAGCTGCACAAACCACCCTGATCCCCAATCAGAAAACCTTAAAGCACCAAGAAGTGTTTCCTTAGCTGAGTCTAAGATTTTACAAGAGCTGAGCTGAATCCTTTAAGTCTTGATCCCATCATGGGCAGTGCCCTGGGCCTCAGTTTTCAAAGAGTTTTCAGTTTTCAAATCAAATTTTTACCTTTAATTATGCCACTACTGCCTTGCAACAGCAACTACTCCTTGAAAACCAGTTTGAGGATGTTCTAGATAGTTCAACTTGAATTACCCTCTATGTTTATATTCCCACAGCACATTTCTGGTAAATACATACTGAGAACAAGGTGAATTTTAGCAAACTTTTTCTTTACTAAAGTCTCTTGTTATAAATTACACAAATAACTTTATAAACAAATCCCCCCCTGCTTGCATTTTGTTTAAAGTAATAACTTTATATCATACAAATAAAGAAATTTCAAGTATGAAAAGTGCATTATTGCAATAATACCTCTTTGCAAGTCCAAAAATCTTGGTTTAGAATAAAACTGTAAAGTGTAAAAAAGGAGTAAAACAATCAGTGCCATCTATTCATTCAAGAAGTCCAACATCTTAAAAATGATGCTTAGTGTGTTGCAGAGGCAGATTTACATCTGAAAGCAACATGTAATTGAAAAGAAGCTATGTGTGTTCATCGTTTTGCATTAATTTGTGTTTTGTTTTTTGTTTTTCCCCTAGTTTCCTTCACCTTTCTTGGCAGGAATTCTCACTACAACCAGCACTTGTCCTCAGCCATCACCCGTTCTGTGCTGCTGCCACCTGCATGGTGCCAAGGTCTTCATCCTCCTCGTGCATCCGCTTCAAACTCCCTGCAGGAGGCAAGAGGGAACTTCAGCCATGGAAAACCAGGATATTTAAACACTTCACATTAAAGTTTAAACTAAGAGGCTTGAACACCAAAGAGTTTGGGATTCTGCTGCTAAAGGTTTGCTTAAAAATCACCTCATAGCCCCGGTAGGAGAAGCTTCTCACCTGTGCTGCCAGGTGGGACTGAGAGGGATCTCTCCAGCTGCAGAGGTGACATCATCTGGATGGTTAATTTTGCTAGATAGATGGCTTCATATTCCTGGAAAGGTCCAAAAATGTTAATTGGAATTACTTTGGCATAAAGCTTTGTAAGGATGAGGAGGGCTATTTCAGAGAATATCTCATATTCAGGCACAGATTTGGGAGGAGGAGAATTCTTTGTTGCTTTGACATGAATGACAAAAACCATCAGCAAGTCAGAGGAAAAGAAAAGTTCAAGGATGACTAAAGAAATGGATTTAAGGAACAAACAACATTTCCTCTGCAGCTCCTTCAACACCAAATAAGACATTTCAGAGCCTCTTAATCACTGCACAAACCAGGATTTTTATTTCTCCTCCATTCCTGGATTTGCTTTGTCCAAAGCTTCAGTCTGAGGAACTGAGGTGCCCACTCATCTTCCTCCCAAGCTTTACTCCTGCTCCTGACATTTCCTTGAAGCATATTTGTATAAATGTCTGTTTGGCAGGAAGATGATTCATTAAATGGCTTTTCAGTGTTCAGGAATAATAAAAAAAAAAAAGTCACCTGAAGTTGATGGACAAATCCAGCATTAGGATTAATACAGAATCTTCTTTCTTGGACATAAGTAAATGCATCCCTTAAAAAGAGGAGAAAACATTTCAGTGAAAAATACATAAAAGTCTCTGTGTCAGTTTGAGTCTTCCTTCAGATTATCAGTTCTTCAGAACCTCTAAACTCTGACCAGAGCTGGTTTTTACAACTGCAATTGCTTGGCCAAAGCAGGAAGCAGCAGTTGTACAATTCTGTTTGCCCACCCCAATGCTCAGCTCATTTTCCTGTTCAACACAGGCTCAGAACAGCCCCTGGGGCCTCTCCCAAGGTTTCATCCATGGATAGAGGCTGGTGCCCTAATTATTTAAAAAAAAAAAAAGGTGTAAACACAACTGCAGTGAAGTAAAATGGAATAATTTTATTATTCCAGTCCCTGCTAAAGTCTTAGGTAAGGCACTAAGACTGAGTGAAAACACAACAGTTTCTCTTCCCTCCAAAATCATTATTCACTCACACCACCTGAATTAAAACCTGAATAGCTCTTCTTACCTGTACTTCACCCCAAATGTTTCCATTATGTATGCAATAACTAAGGCAGCACTGGAAAAATAAAACCCAAACAAATAAATATTAGTAAAATATCTTTTAATTGTTTAAAAATATTCATATCAGGATGGATCATTTCCTACCTTCTAGAAATCCCTGCGTTCCCATGGACAAGAACTTTTCCTGAGAAGATAAAAAAAAAAAACAAAATTAATCATATTTGTATAAATTGAATAAAATTCTTTGAAATGTGGTTTTCCCTTGTTATGGAGAACCAGGCAGCAGCAAGGCACATCCAAGAAAAACAGGTGTTGTCTTCCTTGACCCTGAATTTCTAACTACACTCTGTCCTTTGGGTTACAGGAACTGGGATTCCTGCTCCTGGGAGGATTCGGAGTGACAGAATGCAGATTTCAGCTCCTGCATTAGACAGGGGACAAGAAAACTTCATACACAGAACTCAGCTGTGTTTCAA